GCAAGGTAAGGAAAAAGGAAGGAGGTAGCTTGGCGTATATGGCGATACGTCCAGGAGACCTGGCGTGTCGTCACACTTTATTCATTTGACTTTTATTATTACCAGCAAACCAATAGTATTTGAATTTTATATGCTCCCTAACGTTCAAGGAAGCTAACTCCTTTTAAACGATCAAAAGGAGTCACGTGCACTAGCTAATAGTAGGTTTTACAGTCAAGTTAGGGGTCCCTTAACGCGCAAGCGCGTGCCACGCTAAGCGAGGCACGCGTGAACCATGGTTCACGGGTAGAGTTAGCTATATTGCTTTCAACTACTATTAATTAACTCAGGTCGATATGAAAATACTAATACTTTTTTAAGGCTTCTAGATAGTTTTATCAGGAGGCTCGATCCTTAACTTATACGAGGTGTGCAAGTCTGATTTGTTTGATACCGTACGTAGCTATATAACAGGCATAAAGAGTGAAATGCATAATAATTCCTCCCCCGCCCTTCCAACGTCTTCATAATTCCGGTAACCACTTGATTTTGCTTAAGCTATATGCAGCCAAGCGCAGCTCTTTACTGGCATCTAAAAGAGGAGATCGTATCGTCGAATTTCTCAAGTCCGGGCTTAACAGTGAGATCTAGAATCTTGCCGGTATGAGTGAAAGATCCGGTAGCCGCAGAGCAAGAGTAATCACTATATTTTTTAGATCAGCTATTTAAAAATTAAAGTTATTAAAAATTAAATTGAATGCTTACATAAAGAACTCGCATGATGCCTTTCTAGTGTCTAAAGAGGTAATTCTATCCGAAATGTATAAAAGATTCTCTTTAAATTTATTAGCTTTATTTGAAAGAAAAAAAAAATAAAAAGAGTCGAAAAGAAATGTCTTACCGCAGGAGCCGGCTGGTGCCCTAAGATATTCGCAATTTTGTAGGTCAGGATCGCTGCAAAGCATAATATCTCTTGCAATTACGGCAGAAGCTGCTAAAATAATTGCAGCGACGATATTGTTAATCAACATCATATTGATAGATTGATAAAAGACCAGTTTTCTTAATAAAGAGATGCTGGAAATATAAAAAGGAAATATAAAAACCGATGTGTCCTAAGCGGATTTTGAAAACATTTAAATACTTTTCTATAAGTTTAAAAATAATATAGACCTCTAACTTGTTTCTCTTTTCCGTCAGTAGTGATAGACTAGTCGCCTTCGCATTAATTAGAGGAGGTTTTAGAATTATTACGTAGTACTTCGTACTTGATACAAGCCCGAAATAATGTATAAACGCTGTTCATATGCAATTCTAAAGGTTTCCGTTGACAAGGCTCTTATGCAAGGGATATCACCAATAATATAACGATAATAATTCGCTTCTTTTTATATTGAAAATCAGCACTTTCATTATGGCGCCTTCATTATCAAGCAGTGATTACAGCAAGAGGAGGCGATAGAAAATATTAGGAAAAGTAATAAAAGCAGCATTGCTAAGTATCTAGTATGCACAGACTAGAATTGTACATTATTTACCCATGATACGAAGTACTACGTACTTCGGCCTGTACCGTGGTAGTTACGAATATTACCCGCGAAGTTCGGAAAATTTACCTTAGAGTTTGCGGAAGGCCGCAAGTTTCAAGTTTAGCTTGCGGCCGGACTGAAGCGTTACATTTTCTTGACATCTTTCTAAAGTGTATTTCTTAAGTATGGAAAATGACGTAGCACTCATCCATACAAAGGTCGACCGGTCGCATATACTACGTCCCAGGCGTAAGTATTACCTCTCGAAGGTAAGGTAACTACAGTAGAGGGTTTAAAGTGAAAACTAAACTTTTGAGGCATCATCGAGGAGTAATACTAAGTAACTTAGGCCTGTAACGTGGTAAATTGTATAAGGACAAGGTCGACCGGGATAGCCTAAAAAAGAAAAAAAAAGAAAGGAGCATTAACGTTTTGCTTTGTTTTAGAATTGGCTATACTTAGCTAGCGTTACCGCTATGGCTGTCGAGGCTTAAGCGGTGTAGCATTGTATTGTATTGTATTATATGACTTGATATAAATGAGTACGGATACGTAAGGTTTTATGAAGGCAGGATAAAAGAAAGAAGATACGAAAGGAAGGAAATACGGAGGAGGGTGCAAAGAGGTTAAAGTTTTATCAAGTATCACGTCGATTGTAGAGATAATAATAGTAAGTAGATAAACTGACTTTTCGCACAGGTTTTACTTATGCCGTTTCAAACGCCTTAGCATATACGTAGTAGTGGAATATAAGGTACGATGTATAAGACTTCGTATTGAAGTTCTTACCACCGTTGAACTCGCGGAAAGTCTAGAAGACGGATTCCTTTTTTTATAAATAAAAGCTTTTCGACAGATCATTTATAAACTTGGTTTTCATTAGCACAGGTCGCAAATAAATCTTTAATCCTCTCGTAAGTACGTAGTAAGTAATGCTGTAGAAAAACTCAAACCCTAAAAACTCTACGTATTATCTCTCTTTTATAATAAATGATTGTCGAATTTAATTTGGCTTTATAATTCGTGAAGCGGCGGTTTCCGAATAGCTTAAAGCCTTGTCAGTTTTATTGCACACTATATTACGTAAATACTTGTTTATAGATACTTCTTAAGGCTAAGTCCTTATACTATTAAATTGATTGATTGGTTTAAGCCTTGATAAGAGCTTTTGCAAAATTATACTTTGCTGATATACTATTATTTATAGGTAGAAGGGCGGGGGGTACGGTAGTAGTATCAGCTCTACTTACTGTAAGTATAGTACTACGTACAGTAGTACTGCAAAGTATAACCTTATTTATTTCCCTACCTACAGAGTATTATCAATCTGAAGCTAGCGCAACGACTGCGGAGTAGAATAGCTTTTCAATTACTACTACTACGTACTACGAAGTACTCGTGCGGCCATGAAGTCTGTCCGCTAAGGCGGAAAATTCAAGGAGACGCATACGTAGTGCGCTGGAGTATCTTCCTACTCCGTCCGCACCTGCAACCTTTTTTTAAAGCGATTTTCGCTCTAGCGGACCGACTTTATGGCCGCACGAGTATAGTACGGAGGTACAGCGGTGAAGTATTGTCCTTGGACAGACAAGGGATAGGCTCAGCTTAGCTTAATCAGGTATATGATTTCCCGAAAGGCTTTTACGTAAGCTAGCCATTTGGATTTGTACCTCCGTATACGGTATACTTTTACAGTAAAGTATACGGCGTAAGTATTTTTATATGAGATGATTTTGGCTCATTTAGGCCGGTTGTTTCCAATGCTTCGAACATTATACAGTAGAGCTGTGTTCCTCATGCCCTGACGCCTTCATTTATCTGCTGCTTTGATATGAAATCTTTTACTTGGTACATGCCCGAAAAAATGTACAAACGCCGTCTGTGCACGATTCTACAGGTTTCTATCGACAAGGGTTTCGTGCAAAGGGTACTACCAATAATATAACGATAATAATTCGCCGCTTTTTGCAGCGAAAATCAGCACTTTCATCATGGAGCCTTCACTTAGTGCCAGACGAAATATTAGAAAATAGAAGCAGCACTGCCAAGTATTTAGCGTGCACAGATTAGAATTGTACATTATTTACCCATAGTACGAAGTACTTTAGTGCGCCGTCCATGCAAATGATCCGGGTTGGATATACTAATATACTCTTGCCCGTATACTTGCAAAATGGCCTCGACTTTTGTGACCAACGCTCAATTAGATGCGTGCAATAAACGCAAAGGATAGCATAACGATTATCAATCACTATATGCGCATAACCAAGACCGACGATGTTATCTTAGATTGGACTGATCGGACTTGCAAAGGGGTTTGGAAATGGAACAGATAGCTTTTGAGCTGTTGTTGTTGTTGTTGTTGTATTTATTAACGTCGGGCGGGTAGCAGGCGAAGCCTGCCTCCCTAGGACCTTTTATAAAGTATGGCGACGTGATACGCTAAGGAGTTACCTATAAGACAGCTCTAGAAAGCAATTCAATGCGGTGTAGCAAAGGCTACTGTCGTCTGCGCCCTTCCCCTACGGATAGGATGGGTTACAGTTAAAGGGGGATATCTCGTCTAAGGTAGGAAACCACAAAAGAAAGCAAGGCAGGTACAGACTTCCGTGGCCAGCTTAGAAGCGTGGCTGTGTTTGAGTCGCAAGACGACTGGTATCAAGGCCGGACCGAGGTCAGCCGAAGGTGCATAGTAGTGCAAGCAAGAGAGAAAGCGCTCCCAAACAAAAACCAAAATCAAAACAAAACTCTAGAAAAAGTCGATCAACATCGTACAACAGCGAAGAATGAGTTGGAGGAATAGTAGGGAGGCTGATTAATTGTAAACATATTGGGTGAGAGGACTATGCTCTATATGCAAGAGAGAGAAAGAGACACCTGCCCGAGGCCTTGAAGGAAGGGTTTGATGTCGGTGAAGATGGTTATGTGAAGCTGGCGACTTTGATTTGGATTATGGTGTTGAGCTTGAGAAGATTTGCCCTTACGCACGAGTGGTGTTTATGCACTGCAGGAGCTTGTTGAAGAGCATAGGGCATAGGGGGTGGTTGAGGGTAGCATTGTTTTGAACTGCTGTGCTTGGAACGAATGTGGCAAGGGCAAGACAGCAATCCGTGCAAGTGTATTCGAGACAAATGAGATATGGAAATGGGGAAAAGGTGAGGTATGATGTGGAGAGAAGTCACGAAGAGAACGGGTTCTCCTCTCACTCCTCACTCTTGGCTGGGCACGCCTAATGAGATCTGAAGTCGACGTTACGATTGAGCGCGCAGTAAAGAGACAGAGATCTTCGAACGCACGGGTAGGTATTACCAGAAGATTAAAACAGCTGCAAATCATTGTAGCATAACTAAACTTCATCGCCATGCCTGTGATGTTGTACAAATGCATACCCAGCAAGGGGACACCCACGCTACCTCCCCTTTAACCCAAAGAGAAGTACTACTAAAAGATAGAACAATAAAACCAGGTTCCGGGCCTTAAAGAAGACCGTGCCTATCGATATTGAATCTCTTGGCCCCTCGGAGGCGGATGATAGGGCCAGGCTGGGAATGGTTTCCTGGCATGGTAGTCGTGAACTTTCAAGGCCCAACGAGGTAGCATATCTTCTTCAGTCTCGGGATTCTTGATCTCCTCATACACAATAGCTTTCTTAAGATATTGGACCACCAAAGCAGCGTCGGGCCTCTTTCGGGGATCCACCGTGGTGCATATGAGAATGGCTCTCCCAAGCGTTGGAGAGTACTCGTCCCGAATCTGCATTGGGTCCTTGTTGGAAGCTAAGCCTTGCATCCAATCCTCGGCAGGCAGGCCCTTGGGCATGCGGTCAAAAACCAAATGCGCATTGGAGTGAGTTGATCTTGTCCCGGATCCATTTGAGCTAAAAGCTTCACACTCCGCCAGGTTGAAGATGCATGCGCCAACTGCCCAAAGATCTGTCTTTCCGCTGTGTCTGTAACCACGTCAGTATGACCTCTGTCCATCTTCTGAGTGCCAAATATTCATTTTATACGGGGCGGGATAGACTGACCTGTAAGGCGAGGGGAACCTTTGTTTATGATCAATATTGCCCCGAGCCGGATACGGGATGTAGCGCAGTTCAGCTGGAATAACGGAATGTCAGCAACAATCCCAATTTTGGGTGTATCGGGGGTAGTCTCAGGAGCAAGATGCCCATGAGGCAGCCAGAAACCAAGGGGGCATGGCCCGATCAACTTACGTGCAAACCATGTCGGTGTTCCGCATTTAAAACCGTAATTCTGGCCACCATCTGCTAGGGGGTGACCTGTTTGGACATCTTCAGTCGCCAAACCAAAATCGGCGAGTATGCAATACGGATACTTTTTAGTCCCGATTCTGTCTCTTGACCGTATCAGGATGTTGTCGGGTTTGATATCTCGGTGTAGTATAGGCATCCAGCCTTCAAGCCGCCCGCTGCCGGTGACATTATGATCCATAAAGCTCCGCCCATTTGCGAGGTATGCCAACGCATCCACGAGACCAGCGAGTGCGTGCCAAATGAAACCTTCCGGAACAAATACATCTTGACCAGCAATCCGTCTCTTGGAGTATTCTGTGATGATATTTTCCAAAGATCCACTGTCACAAAATTCAACGTACAGAGAGCCTATCCGTTCGCAGTCGTCGAAGAATGCAGCTGTATAGAAGGATATCGCAGGATGTCTGAGTTGGTGAAGAATTCGAACCTCTCTCTTGGCAAACTCAATACAATCAGGTTTGAATCTTTTGTCACCATTTAGCAACTTTCGGAGAGAAGAGCGAGTTGGTCAAATACCTCTTTTCCACGCTCAAACGACTGAGATTACCATCCTTGACCCTGACCACAAAGACACCTAGGTTCATAGCGCCTGGGCCAGTTCCATCTCCTCTGTCGATGATATGCATTATCTCGTACTTGGCACGGGTGTTTCTTGTCCCAATAGGAGCCCGTTTACACTTTTCCAGAGGGATGCCCGATCGTCTAATAGACGCGGTAATTTCCAGGCCTTCGACATTCGACGCATTGCGTCGGATAGCATGGAGAGCTGCCTGTTTCGTATCGGTGATTTAGCAGTTGTCGAATATCAATATGAGAACCTGGAAATAGCTGAAGGACCAGTCATTAGGTGCAGAGACTTAAGCTTACCTGACTATACCGAGGATCTTGGCGGGTCGATTTTTTTGTTTGTGGGTTCCAATATCTCAGCTTGACCCAATCGCCGTCCTACTGTTCAGATTAGATGAATTTCCCTTGACTGTTGCAGCAGATGGATAAAGCACTAGAAATATGCCCGATGGAGAAAAAAACTGACCTCGAAGGCTTTGAAAACCCATGGTGTAGGGAGCCTGCCATGTGATGGATGTTGTTGCGTTTTCACTCGCTCTCTTTCGAGGGAGTATACGACGCAGTCGTTATCTGCAGAAATAAACCATTCCCACCCGTCGGGCAGGCTTTTCAGCTCAGGATACGTGACTCTCATGCTAGCCTTCTCCTTCTTCTTCAATTTCCTTATCGCCATCTCGAATTAGAGTAGGTACAGTGCAGTGAACACTGTTATCCTCAAGTAAAAGGTTCGAAACTCTCAAGAGATCTGATGTAAGGGTTGGTGAAAAGCGGAGATATAATCGAGACTTATAAGATCACTCGAGAACCTGTAGTAATTAGTATGTGTGGAAAGCTGTGGATCGATATGCGATGATTCACCTGCTCTAGATGAGCATTTTACTTGATGAAGCTGTCAGTTGTGCATGTCAGTACGGCATATACAGCGACCATTGTACTACTCTGCGATATTCCAAGCTCCCAAATGTTGAGTGGTCACTTGTTCTAAGGGCTACCAGAAAAATTCATGATTTGTTGTTTGTGAATCCTTCTTCAAGGTGATTTAGTTGGTATCTTGTTACTGATATATATGACGTACTATAACAGTCATTCAGTTCCACGAGAGGTTCGCCTGCCTGATTGCCAAGTTGTCATATATGGTAGCTTCACGACCATTGTTAGCATAAAAACCACCTGAGCCTCTGACCCTGAGCCCTAGACCTACGGACAACAATCCAGTATGTCTGAGCGGCCTCACGATCTAACCGGAAGACCCCTAACTCTCATCCCCCCACTGAAAATAAAGAGAAAATGCGTTATCAAAGACGTCGCCTCGTCGGAGGTGATCGTGCAAGACGATGTATCGAGACAAGGTAGCGCCAGCGCCAGCTCACGTGAACTTGGAGAGCGACGCGAGATCAGCGAAGAATATGAGTTCCAAAAGATGGCCGAAATTGAAAAAAGGTTAGAACTTGAGAAGAGGTTTGAAGTTGAAGAAGAGCTTGAACTCCAAGAGAGGCTTGAGAAGTACTGTCATTTCTTCACCGACGAGCCTCCGATGGACGAACTTCCAAAACGTTGCATCAAAGACTTCGAAAGAGTACACCGGGAATGGTACGATGATCTCGTTTTCCGAAGACTTCGAAAAGACCTCAAACATGCCCCCGAGGAGACCGGGCCAACGCAGTACAGAAGTTGGGCGATTGTGCAGGAGTTTTGGGACGACATAAGGAAGAGTTTGAGCATCGAAGACTCTGAGTTTTCCACACCGAGCCTCCATTAAGCGTAGAGTACGAAGCAGCGGAGCATTGATACATAGTAGGGCGAAGTCGCGAGATGGTGGATAGTACAGGCCAGCCAGATTCTGTTCGTCCAGCGGAAGAGACCTCCGGTTTCTCGAGACCATGCTCACGGTCTCGAGATCATGAACATGGTGGCTCGCAGAAGGAAAATAGATGAATTAAGAAACGATATTCTGAAGCTTAAAAGAAGTATTTCGAGAAGGATTCTGGACATTGACGTTGTTATTGTTGTTAAAAGATGTAAGCGAGCTCCACCCTCGGTCCCCGTAAGAGCTCGGCCCTTGAGAAAGTAACACGTACTGTACCTGTCGTCGCATCGAACAACTCCCTCCACCACAACGTCTCTACTACACATCACCATGGATCCATTCTCTGCTGAGGGCGAGCTGCTCAACTTGCACAACTTCTTCCACCAAGGTCAATTTCAGGAAGCCATCAATTTCGACACTGCTGGCCTCTCCGCCGAGAACAAACTCCCCGCTCGCATCATCTCTCTCCGCGCCCAGATTGCCCTCGGACAAGCTGAAAATGTTATTGCAGACGTGAAGGGTGAACAAGAGCCGGAGCTGGCAGCAGTAGGTGCGCTGGCAGATTTTACGGCAGGCAACGAGGACACGGCAGTGATAACAGCGAGGAAGTTAGCCAGCGAGGCTGGGGATAACGCCACGGTGCAGGTTCTGGCTGGCACAGTATTGCAGGCGGCAGGGGAAAGCGAAGAGGCACTGGCGTTGCTCTCTCAACATGAAGGAAATCGTACGTCAGTCTGGGAATATTCCAGGAACTCGTGCTGATACGGAGTCGCAGTCGAAGCCGTTGCTCTGACGGTCCAGATCTACCTCCAACAGAACCGCACGGATTTAGCCATCAAGGAGGTCCAGGCCGCAAAGAAGTGGGCACAAGATAGTTTGCTTGTCAACCTGGCCGAAGCATGGGTTGGCTTGCGTATGGTATGCCAGGAGCACACCCGAGAGTTGGCACTGGCTAACGGCTCGCAGGGCGGAGAGAAATACCAACAGGCCTTCTACGTTTTCGAAGAACTTGCGCAAGCCCCGTCGACGACTTCAACGCAGAGTCTGGTTTCACAAGCTGTTGCGGAAATCCACCTAGGGCGCTCGGAAGAAGCAGCCGCAGCTCTCAAGCAAGCTTTGGCGACAGACCCCAAGAACGCCGAGGCAATCGCCAATAGCATCGTCCTCGAAGTCATTGGTGGCAGCAAAAATGTCACGAAGTTGAAAGCGCAAGTACTTTCCCACAAGTCATGGAAATGGGTCCTGACTCCTGTTGTGCCATTAGTGATCTCCAGACCGCCGCCCCTGAACACATGTTCCTCCAGGATCTGGAAGAGAAATCATCCATGTTCGACAAGGCATCAACGAAATACACGGCGAAAGTGGCTGCTGCATAATAACGAATTGAATTCGAATCATAAGACGTACGGGTCGGGTGGGATTCATAATACGATACAGCTCTAGGTATTCCAGAATGGGACAATGGACGCATTTCACATATCCAATCAAGGTGGCAGATGCACATGTTGCCCGAACGACGTGCCAAATGCAGCGGCTCCCCCGATGCTGTGCTTCCATTGAGCAAAAGCTCCGGCGCGGAGGGAAAAGCCTCAAGGCGCACTGACATCACCAACTACAGTAACCAGCCCCTTTGACATTGAGTGCATGGATTCTGCTAAGGGTATGGTACGGTATGGTACGGCGTAGTACGGTATGGTACGGTATGGTACGGTATGCTACGGTATGGTATGGTACGGGACAATATGCATGCTGCTGTACTATACCAAGTGACGCTTCTGATGGAAGTTCCGGACGAGGGATTGTTCTCTGTTTCTACACCGACACACTGACGAAGTTCTGTGAATGACCGCCCAATCCAATCCACTCCAATCCACTCCAATCCATTCCATTCCAAATCCTGAAAGGCTCTTGACTCGGCAGCTACCCCGTGTATTGAACTGTACGGAGATGGTTGTTCCAGTACTTACTTGTATGTGATGTTGTGCTTGGTCAGTGACATCACTCCAATTACCTACTCTTTCATCTCATCTATCCGGCTTTGCATTCCTCTGCTCTGCTCGGCTTTGCTTGTGGGTATGGGGGGCCAGGCCAGGACAGTGCAACGGTCTAGACGCCGCCCCCCAAGAGTCAGTTCTTGATGCATCGTCTGGCCTAACAATTATCAATCAAGCCAGATCGGCGTGCCACTTGCCACCATCTGAGTCTCGCCTCTCGCCGCCCGCGCTGTGTTCTTCTGTGCATACAAGCGAGCAAGACAAGACCGTTTCCGTTTCCGTTTCCGTTTCCGTCCTACCAAACAAGCCATCTATTTACTATCGCCTTACTATCTATCTCCTTACGGTATCTTCTGGCTGATGTCGTGCACGTGCATGATTCCGTCCCTGTCCGGTGCGCGCGGAGGAGAATAAGAGGAGCCGTCTCCTTTCCTCCACTACCCATTCTCATATCCATTTTCTCTTCTCAATCGTATCGTCGAGCTGGAAATCCGCGAGCGTCGTCACGGGCACCCCTACACTGATTCAACTCAATCCAGTCTCTCAATCTACTTCAATCCCTCTTCCCACTTGTAACTCTCGTATCCACGAATATGGCAGTTCCCAGACCAAGCATGATGCCTCAGCGAAAGACGGACATGTCGACTAAAAAGCGGAAGATTATCTGTTTTTCAGGTTCGTTTTGCTCATCTCCTGTACTGTCCTTCTCTTCTCATCACCAACCTTTGGATGCAGACCCATCCCAGATGTCACCTAACTCGCAATCCTGCAGACTTTGACGGCACGATCTTCATGCAAGATACAGGGCATATCCTCTTCGACGCCCATGGCTGCGGTAGTAAGCAGCGCCAAGTCCTCGACTCCCAAATCCACTCCGGGGAGCGCTCCTTTCGCGAGGTATCTGAAGAGATGTGGGGCTCATTGAACGTGCCGTTCGACGACGGCTTCATGGTCATGAAAGATACGCTCGAAATTGACCCGGATTTCCACGCGTTCCACGATTTCTGCGTCCTAAATTCGATCCCCTTCAACGTCATTTCCGCCGGCCTGAAACCCATTCTCCGCCGCGTGCTGGACGAGTTCTTGGGCGAGGAGCAGGCGGCGCACATTGACATTGTGGCGAATGAAGCCGAGATCAAGGAGGACGGGAGTCAGTGGAAGCCGATCTGGAGACACGACACCGAACTCGGCCACGACAAGGCTCTCTCGATCACCGAAGCCCGGGCACAGGCCAATTTGGAGGCCGAAGACGGCACCATTCCCCTGATCGTCTTCATTGGTGATGGGGTGTCTGATTTGCCCGCTGCACGAGAAGCAGATGTCTTGTTCGCGCGGAGAGGTCTGAGACTGGAGGAATACTGTGTCGAGAACCGGATCCCGTACTTGGGCTTTGACACGTTTGCGGATATTCAGAAGGAGATCCAGATGATCATGGAGGAGGATCAGAAGAAGACCCAGGGCCATGGGGTGCCGGCCCGCTTCAACCCTCGGGCGAATCTGTGGAGACGGGTATCCAGTACGAAGGCCATTCCGAAGTACCTGGCTGCGACTCCGAGCCAGGAGGAGAAGATGTTCCTGTGGCCGAATGCGTTCTCGGAATACACCCCCAAGCAGAGTATTATGGAGGAGGGTGTGGCTGCTTAGAATACCCCCTGGGTACTGGGCATTTTGGCATCTTTGTCGGTGTTGTTCCTCTTTCCTCTCTGTCTCCGCGTTGGGATGGGCCGTGGCATTGTCTGGCGTCTAAATCGTTTTGTGTTGACGGGATTGGGGATTGGGGATTGGGCAATGGACCACGGAACAATATGTCGCGGGAACACCCATACAGTAGAGACAGACTTCATGATGTGATAGATCGGCAATAATACATATTATCCATAGGGTCGGAAGATCTTGTCTGTGCTTGGCCGTTGATCTTGGTCCAAACACACGCCACACTACTGTATATGCCATACCTCGATAGATAGATACTACCGGTAGTCCGACTGAAGCCAGATAGGTACGTACGGCACCCATGATGATTGCACACAGTTCTTCATGACTGGCGATGGACCGGATGGGCTGTCGGGATGTTGAATTAATGAGTCGTACTGCCACGGCCATTGTACTGTGCCATCACGGCCATGTCTACCACGACACGGCATCAAAAGCTCTGGCTCTGGCTCTGGCTCTGGCTCTCCCTCTGGCTCTGCCTCTGCCTCTGCCTCTGTCTCTTTTGCCTCCCCACGGGCCCGTTCACGTCCACGTCCACCTCCAGATCCACAAGACGAGCCCTTCCTCCCCATAGATCACCGCCCCCTAATCCCTAATGTAATGCAACGCAAGCAAGCAAGCAATCCTTCTGCCGAGTTGCGCTTCCTCAGCTCCTCTACTCTACCGGTACTCTAGCTCTACTCTACTCTGCTCTGCGCTGCGCTGCGCTGCCCGACGGACTCTCCTCCAGGCTATTACCTATTCGACTCGACTGGACTCTACCCTACGCAAACACTCTACGACAAGTACCACCAAGACTGCCTGGCTGGCTTCTCTCCTCGTTGCTTCACCCCCCGCCCACTTTGTGCTGCTTCACTTTCTACCGAGCTGCATTGGCAGTCAGCACTGCCCAATCCCAATCCCAGTCCCCGTCACGGTCACAGTCCCAGAGCCCCCCCCCTCCCCCCAGCTCTCCACCCCGCCTCCGCAAACCCACTACCCCCCCCCCCCCCCCACCCCATAAAATCATAAAATGGTCCGCATTCCGCTGCCAACCCGTCTCAAGTCATTCAACAACGGCAGCACGAACCCCCCGAGAAGCTCGAGAAGCTCGAGTCCGAATCCCGTCAGCATGAAGAGGTCGACAGCGGCCACTGGAGATGGCAGCTCCGAGGCCGCGAAGGGCACTGGCTTGATGCTGAAGGTTGTCGTGCTGAAGGTAGGCCTTATCGATCCCCCGGGGGGCCGAGACATATACAGACAGGCAGAAGATGGCAGAAGATGGCAGAAGCTGGGAGGCCCGGACCGGAGGGAAACATGCCATTGCTAGGAAAAGAGGCTGACGGAGATGTGACTCCAGGCCAGGAATCTTGCAGCCAAAGACAAGAGCGGTACTTCCGACCCAGTGAGTAGCCCACACGCCTCTGCCCACCACCACCCCCCGCCAGATATCTAGCCTAAAGAATCACAGTATCTCGTTGTCACGCTCGGCGATTCGAAGAACGCGACGCAATCGGTCCCCAAGACCCTCAACCCAGAATGGAACACCACGATCCAGATGCCCGTCAACAGCGCCAGCGCCCTCCTGCTCGACTGCGTGTGCTGGGACAAAGACCGTTTCGGAAAAGACTACCTGGGCGAATTTGACCTGGCCCTCGAGGACATCTTCACTCAGGACAGGACCGAGATCGAGCCTCGATGGTTTCCCCTTCGCAGCAAGAGGCCTGGAGGCAAGAAGAGCAGCAATGTCAGTGGGGACGTGCAGCTGCAGTTCGCGCTGTATGACTCGAGCAACCATTCTGCGACCCCCGCACAAGTGCTGGAGAAGTTTAGGACCTTGGCTGGTCTGGGTGATCTGGAGAACGCGGGCATGCCCGCGGATGGGGCGGAGGACGATGACTTTCTGGATGACGACGATGAGGACCCAAGCGATGAGACGGACGACCCGACGAAGCCCGAGAACGCGGAGAAGAGTCGCCGCAAGCTGCGCCTGAAAGGCTTGAGAAAGAAAAAACGGTTGAATGGCTACGAGTTTACCGGTGGGAGTGAGGTGGTGGGTATCGTGTTCTTAGAGATCGGAAAGATCACAGATTTGCCTCCGGAACGCAACATGACCCGGACTTCCTTCGATATGGATCCGTTCGTGATTGCTTCGTTGGGAAAGAAGACGTACAGAACCCGAGTTATTAGGCACAATTTGAACCCGGTATTCAACGAAAAGATGATCTTCCAGGTGTTGAAGCACGAGCAGACGTACTCGCTCTCTTTCACCGTTGTGGATAGGGACAAGCTGTCGGGAAACGACTTCATTGCTGCGGCCGTACATCCGCTCAAGGATATTACAGATACGGCGCCCAGTGCCAGTCCAGAGACGGGTCTGTACGCGCTGAAGGAGCCGGTGGACCCAGCTGCCGTCCCGGTGCAACCCAACCGGTCTCGATTCAAGATCCCGCTGTCTCGCTCGTCGTCATCGCAGAGCTTGAACAAGACGACAGTTGGGCCCCCTCTCAAATCGCGAACCTCGGGCAATAGTTTGTCATCCAATGGCGTGAACCCTAGCACTTCCACGCCTCTACCCAATCCTGCTTCAACCAGCAATCCCAATCCCGGGGGACTCGCGCCTGGTGATAACTCCCCGGCGCCAAACGCGGTGGACGACAATGAGGGGTTTGATGCAGCTGGGGACCCAGACTTGCACTCCTTCACTATTCCTCTGAAGCTGAAGAATGCCGAGAAATGGGAAGAGAAGCACAGCCCACAGCTTCTCATCAAGGCGAAATATGTGCCGTATCCGGCACTTCGGCAACAATTCTGGAGGGCTATGTTGAGACAATACGACACGGATGAGAGTGGATGTATTAGCAAGGTTGAGCTTACGACTATGCTCGATACCCTTGGCTCCACCTTGAAGGAATCGACCATTGATGGGTTCTTCAAGCGCTTCTCTCATGCTGCAACAAGTGACGCCGAGGCCGAAGCAGAAATAAGCTTCGATGAGGCTGTCATCTGTTTGGAGGATCAGTTGATCGAGAAGTCCAAGCCGACCATGGGCGACAAGATGAGAAGCCTAATCCCAGATTCTGCGGCAGTGAAGAGCCACATTCCAACACAACTTGGAGGGGCTTCTGGCCATACCCCAGCTTCGTCATCTGTTTCCGGCACTGGCTCTTCTACGCCAGCTAACACTGAATATGCTGCTGCCAACCCATCTCAGTTGAGTGTCGAGGTGCAAAGTGTGGAGGAGCTTGCTACACGTGGAGAGGAAGGAGACTATTTGGACAGGGACGACTTGAATGATAAAGGCGAAGAGCATGTTGTCGAGATCCGAGAATGCCCCATCTGCCACCAACCTCGTCTCAACAAGCGCTCCGATGCGGATATCGTCACTCACATTGCGACTTGTGCTAGTCAAGATTGGCGCCAGGTCAATAACATCGTCATGGCAGGTTTCGTAACATCCAGTCAAGCTCAGAGAAAGTGGTACTCGAAGGTCATCACCAAAATTTCATATGGAGGCTACAAGCTCGGTGCCAACTCCGCCAACATCCTCGTGCAGGATCGCATCACAGGGCAGATTAATGAAGAGCGTATGAGTGTCTATGTGAGATTGGGCATCAGGCTGCTATATAAGGGACTGAAATCTAAAGACATGGAGAAGAAGAGAAGTACGTTTGGCAAATATTGCACAGTTACCATCTCCACGTCCGAGGCGAAACCTAGTTTGACGAGTGCTAACCAAAGCGCAGTTCGGAAGCTTCTCCGCGGGCTCTCATTCAAGCAAGGTGTCAAATTTGACGATCCAGCTTCGGCAAAGGAGATTCAGAGTTTCATCAACTTTCATCAACTTGACATGACTGAGGTCCTGCTCCCCATAGAGAAGTTCAAGAGCTTCAACGAGTTCTTCTACCGTGCATTGAAGCCCGGTGCTAGACCCTGCTCTGCTCCCGATAACCCACGCATCATCGTCTCTCCCGCTGACTCCCGCTCTGTGGTCTTCAACCGCATGGACGAGGCCACCCGGATCTGGGTCAAGGGCCGCGAATTCTCCATCGAGAGACTCCTTGGTAACGCTTACCCCGACGACGCCAAGCGTTACAAAAACGGTGCTCTGGGGATCTTCCGGCTCGCTCCCCAAGACTACCATCGCTTCCACATCCCTGTTGACGGTGTGATGGGCACGCCAAAGACCATCGAGGGTGAGTACTATACCGTGAACCCCATGGCTATCCGTTCAGCGCTCGATGTCTATGGCGAGAACGTCAGGATCGTCATCCCAATTGATTCTGTCGCGCACGGTCGGGTCATGGTGATCTGCGTGGGTGCCATGATGGTCGGCAGCACAGTCATCACGCGAAAGGCCGGCGAGAATGTCAAGCGGGCTGAGGAGCTGGGCTACTTCAAGTTCGGTGGAAGCACGATCTTGGTATTGTTCGAGGAAAATGTGATGAGATTCGATGATGATTTAGTGGACAACAGTAACGGAGCTTTGGAGACTCTGGTAAGTTTTTGATAACATCAAGCACCAACTCTCTCGGACAGAAAATCTGACAACACGTAGCTCCGCGTTGGCATGTCTATTGGTCACCACCCCGGCCAAGGCCAATACACCCCCGACATGCGCAAGAAAGACGAAGACATCACCGAGAGGGAGAAGGCTGAGGCGAAGCGCAGAATTGAGGGCAGCATCGCTCCTGAAGGCGGTAGTGGTATGGCCCCGATAGCTAGCATGGCTGGGTAGATCGCATCTGTTGCTTGTGCTACTCCTCCAAACACTAGGGTTCAAGCGGAGTGCAAGACGCGAATGAAGGGCTGGTGTAAACCGGCTAGGTTAGAAGGGCTGGGAGAGGTGGGAACGTCGGGAAGGCTTGCATACACATTCAACATTTGAAGTGCTCGGGTTGAATGGAGCTGTGGTTCTTCTTTTGATGCTCTTGATAGGCACTCATGTAAAGCAACAGACGACGGGTACGGACAGATACACGATGGTACGAGAATACATATGGATCTTCACAAGTATTCCACACATGCTCTAGCAGTGCGCCTCTCTTTGTTCGGGCTCATGTAGGTCGCCGGCCGGCAGGCGTACGGGACTGAAGGGGTGGCTGCTCGGCCTGCGCGTAACTTTGCGTCCACCATATTCTGCCCGCCCCAGATGACCTTCTCTGCGCATCACTTTCGGGGCAAACACCACACCCCTTCCCCCGAAATATCTCTCTAGCTAGCTAGCTATGTTTCCTTCCTTCCTTCCTTCCTTCCTTCCTTAGTTAGTTACTTACCTACTTACCTACCTACCTAGAAAAGTATTGCAAGGTTGTGAAACGGGTTAAGAAAAAAAAAAAGAAAAAAAAATTTACCAGTGAGTCAGTAAGTTGGTTAGTTGCTTGCCTCTTTTTTTTCTGAGGAAAAAAATTAAAATCTTGGATGGAGGAAGAGCAGGAGGAGGAGGGGTGGGGGCGGCACGAAAGAGTTTGTGGTGACTGAGTGAGTGGGTGTGTGTGTGTGTGCATGTTTGGTTGGTTGGTTGGTTGGTGTACACTGTAAGTAAGCAAGTAAGTAAGCGAGCGAGCGAGCGAGTACTGTCTGATATATATCTTGCTGCTGCTGCTGCTGCTGCTGTGAGGCGAGGCTTTTGAGGATGGGATGAGATGGGGTAAGATGGGATGAGATGGGATAAGATGGGATGGGATGGGATAAGATGGGATGGGATGGGATAAGATGGGATAAGATGGCATACTGTATACCTATCTGATAAAGAAAGAGTTCGTGAGGGTATTATAGCGATTATAGCTTGTGCTTGAAGTAAGTTGTTGTTATTGTTATTGTTGTTGTTGTTGTTACATTTATTAACGTCAGGCGCATAGCAGCCGCCCTCAGACCTCTTTCTTATACAGTACGGCTCGACGTGCTAAGTGAGTACAGTACCGGTAATTACATCTCAAGTACTAGGTAGGTACTTATCTAATCGAGACGAGAACCCATCACCAATTAGTTTGTATATGCAATCAGTCTACTTGAACGCGCTCTATTCATTGCCGTTCCTTCGCCGCTGGCGGGCTGTGTTTAAGATTAGCAAACTTCATATGATATAATAATTGTTATTACGCCAAAGCAGACCTGCGATGCGTATTGCAGTTTTCTAGTACTATAACTTTTATTTACCGCACAAGATAGTCCTTACAGCAAGCCGATTAAAGTGCTTTACATACTGCTTTATATTACTAGGTAGCGGTTACTCTTATACGGCATTGTTTGCCTGATAGCCCTTTGCTAACGTGAGGATGTTGCTGCTATCTCCGGAGCGTTTGGATTTTTAACCAGCGATAACTCTCCATCGCCGCTTATTCAAGCATTTTGATAACTATCTTTGCTCACTAATCAAGTAGTCACCAGATCGAGATGCATCCTCGCAGCTGACGACAGCGGAGCAGCATCGGGTTTTCGATGAAGAAAACTTTGAGCGGCATATATAAAACGGATCTAGATGATAGCGAGCGATCGATCGATCAATTGCGCTATCGAAGCGGATATGGCTCTTGACTATTATGCAAAAGCAGACTTCCGATGCATATTGCAGTTTTGCAGTACGTATCATAACACCTATTTACCGCACGATAACTATGTACTACGTCCGGGCGTAAGTATTACCCCTCGAGAGTAGGATAACCAGGGCTTTAAAGTGGAAACTAAACTTTTGAGGCACCCTTAAAGGGTACTGCAATAGGTACGTACCACGGTACAGGCCTAAGTATTACCCTTCGAAGGTACGTTCTCGCTGTTTTAATAAGCTTTCATTTACCAGGCTATATACTACCCGTCCGCCGCGATTACGTTTAAACAACGCTATCTTATAGTTCTAATTAAAGCAACAATTTTATTCTTATCGATCGAATCTTACGCTTCTTAAACAGCTATTCTTAATCGAAGATAGTTTTGATAAACATCAAGATATCTTTTTTAAATATAATCCTTTATCTATAACTAAACCGTTTCGATCGGGTTAAGATCGGGCGATAAAGCTAGCTATCTTATCGGCTCGATACTATAAGCTTTTAAAACAGCTAATATAAATCGAGCAATATGTCTTTTAGCGTTATCTTATTGAAACTCCAATTCGAAATGATCGTAAAGAATCTTATCGACGATAAGTATAATAATTCTTAAATAACTTTCGGAATTAATCGGTTCTTACTCTTTTTCTTAAAACAACTTTTTTATTCGATCGAGTTTTCCGCAAATTCTTTCTTAAAATATCCATCCGATTTTTCGTTGATCTCGGCGAACGACGCAATCAAAGTGCTAGCGTTTATTAGCTCGACGAGTGACGTAGACTTTTTAATGCTTTCTCGGCTAAGCTTACGTCTTATCGGTAAACAACACTTTATCTTATTGATCGTCGATCTAATTAACGTGCTCGAGGGCTTACGTTAATTTATTAATAGCGTGGTCGGAAGTTAAAAGAGATTGTTTTTACTAAATTCGGCGAGCAAAACCTTCTTTAGCTATAGCTATTCGAATAGCCTTTTCTTTATAATTCAAATTCATCAAAGCGGGAATCTGATTTTAAAGCGTTTTTCGATTAACTAGTAACTTTAAAACTTAATTGATCATTCGTTTTCTCGTTAAAGTATCGAGTGCAATAAGTCGTTTAAAACGTTTTCGAAGTGTTATTTAACATCGTAGAGTGTATTTGACTTGATCGAGAGTGAATTTAGTTTGAGAAACGAATCAAACGATTTAAGATAATAAAAAACTAGCATCGTTATATAAAGTATGAATACGTAATCGGTCGTCTCGAGTAAGATTAAAAGCTTTAAGAGCTTTAAGAGCTCTAAGAGATTCTATTATTGATAATAGTAATAGCAGTTAGGATATTGCTAATAAAACTAAAAAGAAAAGTAAGAAAAAGCAGCATTAAAATACTTATCAATTAAGATTTGAACCTGTTCGATACGCTTTTATTATATCTCCGATCTAATAAGACGCTTCTCCGATTTGCTTCGACCCTCTTCGACCTTTTTAAAAATCCTATTTACCTTGGTAAAAACTCCTGTTTCGTACCCTCGAGGGGTAATACTTACGCCTGCGACGTAGTACTTACGTAGTATTACGTAGTACGTTTGTACCGTGGTATTACCCTTCGAGGGTAGGGTAATCAGGGGGTTCAAAGTGGAAACTAAACTTTTGAGGTACCATCGAGGGGTACTACTTGGGCCTGTACCACGCGTGGTATATATGGACTCGATATCTACCTTTCTTCCCTTCCCTTCTTCGCCGTTACTCCAGCCATCACACCAGAACCCAACTCAACCTAATCCCGTCGTCTTCCTTCCTCCCCTCCATATCTCATATCTAGTCCGACGATTCCATACCCCAAATCCGAATCCAAATCGAATTCCCCCTCCCCCTCACCCTCAACCCCCCATTTTTTAGGACCGCTACACCCACACACCTGCCCAGGCCCAGGCCTCAGCCAGCAACAGAGCAGCAGCAGAATCAGATAGATGGATCTAAAACTGCAAAGCTCACTTTCGCTCAATGCCTTACTGACTTATTCTATTTTTTCATTACTTTCCAGCAATCAGGCAGGCGAGAAAAGTGGTCCGCCCCTCCTCCTTCCCTCCTGCTTGAGAGAGAAGAAAGTTTGGACTGGTGTTGGTATTATAAGGAGTAAAGACGTAGATGTAATAAGTACCTGGCGCATGGCGTATAGCGATTCGGATAATCCCCTTTCCACTTGATAAGCCAATAGTTTCGGTGATATCGAATACCGGGAGCCCTCTTTTTAAGTGAGACTAAGCGAGACTAAGCGAGGGGAGGATTGCTTGCTAATGACTGACTGGCTGACTGAGTGGCTGACTGTCTGACTGACCAAATGACTAACTGACTGACTGAGCTCTTCAGCACGAAGAAAGAGGAAATAAGGAAAGCTAATTGATTGATTGGTATTGGGAAGTTTGGATTTTGACGTTGAGATATTTGCTTTCAAGGAGTAATAAAGAAATATAAAAAGCAGGGTGATAAGAACTTAGAAGAGTACCGGTAGTGTGCATGCTGCTTAAGTTAAGCATGAAGGAGGAAGAGAGATCTTAAAGGGGACCGACCGACTAAGGCTATCATTAGATGTTAAGGATATAAGATTTTAGTGATAGGATATTAATATGCGTCAGGTTAATAAAGAAGAAATATATACATATATGTATACCCAGGCCTTCACGTCACCTCCTTCTATCAGTTCCCATTTAAATCAGCCTCATTAATATTTTTACATTACTATCTGGGGGAAAACGTCCTACCCAGGACTAGTAGCTACTATAACTACAGTTAAAAGCTACAATAATATCTACAGTTTAAATCCACCCGTCACCTGCTTCGTAAAGACCCGCTGCGGATCGTATCGATTGCGGATGGACTTCAGCCTCGCCTGGCTGGCCGGAGGGAGACTTCCAAAGGGATCCTGGGCATCGGACGCGTCGCCCATGTAGATGTGCCGCTCCCCGGTGCCTCGCCGCACGTTGGCGGCGTGGATGCGCTCGCGCAGTTCGTTGGACCATTGCTTGACGGTTCGGTCGTCGGCGGCGTTGCTCCAGAGGGTGGTGATGAGCCAGACTGCCATTCGCTTAGGTTAGATTTGGCCTTCTTTGAAGGAGAGCGACGGTGGTGGGCGAAGAGGGAGAGGAGAGGAGGGTACGGATACTAACATATGTAGGCTTTGCGGTTGTCGAGTGCCCACGGGTTGCCAATCCCGTTAGTGCGGGCTACGGTGGTGGCACTCTTGGGGATCGGCTGGAAGACGAGGTTCGCTGAGAACCCGGCGATGCCCGCCATGTCCGCCGTCGCGGCTCGGAACGTGGTGTACATGCTTTGCATGGTCTCCTCATCGGCTAAGCAGACGCGCATCCCAAACATGTTTCTGGGATTTCCACAGCTGTTAGATTTTTTTTCCCCCTTCTTTTGACAGGTGTCTGTCTCTCCACGGAGTAGTTTCTTACCTGGCTGCTTGATAGGGCGTATCGAGCGTCGAAGACCAATTGGACAGCGTTGTGACCCCGAACGTGGAGAAGAGATTAGGTATCGCCGTGAAATTAGCAAAAACGGCGGGCCGTTCGGTGTTGCCATCTTGTACGCCCAAGAACTGTATAGATACGCCGGTCGCTGGACTGGTCATGATAGTGAAGATCCCACCGGCGCCCGTGTCGACCTGGTCCTGGTAGTTGGCTAGGTCGGCAACGGCACGGATGTATGGGGTCACGGCTTCTTCTCCGAACAACTGGATCGTCGTACTGACGCTGGGAAGGTCGTGCGTCTTGAAGGTAAACCTGGTCACGATTCCAAAATTATTGCCGCCACCCTTCAATGCCCAGAACAAGTCGGTGTTTCGGGTTGCACTGGCGATCACTACCCGTCCGCCTGCGAGCACGACTTGGTAGGCTACGACGTTGTCCATTGCAAAGCCGTACCGGGCAGTGAAGTAGTTTATCCCGCCGCCGAGGGTCAAGCCGGCTACTCCGATACTCTTCAGTCGACCTCCGACGACGAATTTCTTGTACGGCTCCAGGTAAGAATACAAGTCGAACCACTTCGCAACGGTTAGCCTGGGGTGGTGTCGAACTCGTGACTACGATATAAACTTGATAAAGCCGGAGAAGGATAGTTGAGGAGTTGCATTGCTACCTACGCTCAGAGCTGGGCCAGCTTCAAGGGTTCTCAAATCGGCAGATAGTTTGAGGTCCCTGAAAGCACTCATCGCTATCAGAACTCCTCCGTCAGTATTGGCCGCACCAGGAACCTAGACGTTTCATAATAAGCAAATGTGTGCATCGAACGAGCGGAGGAACTCAACTGGCATGTGGCCGGCACCGCGAACGGCAAATTGGGACTTGCAGGTTTGCAGAGTAAAGACACCTTTGGCAACATCTTGGACCGTGGTGGGAACGAAGACGCATTTCGGCGCCTGGTTCGCTCGAAGGTCCCAGTAGTGCGTTGTTTCCGCCTTATACGCTGATGATCCGGGGAAGAGGACCTTTCCTGCAAACAGTGTGTTCAGAATGCGACAGCCGCAACTAGAGCCAGCGCTGGTGCCATAGGACCGGGCCTCGAGGGCCGTGATAGCTTCTCGGTCCGATGCAGAGCAGGATTCCGCCTCTTCGGCAGTTACCGAGCCTACCATGATCACCAGACAGGTGAGCAGACTCCTCGAGAGCCACATCTTGCGATGGGAGTCTGAAAAAGCTGAAACGAATGTTAGTACTACGCTGTAACTGTGTGGTGGGTAACTGTGTGGTGGAGTTGTCGCAGCTAGAAAGAGTGATAGCTACTACTGCGCGGTCGGGGGTCAGCAGACAACGACTGGGGATGCGCTCGAATATATATGAATCCTCGAGATTCTTATCTCGCGTTTCAAACGAGGCTTAGACTTCACTGATGCATACCTTGGCATTATTATTACTACTACTACGTAGCTATAGTACACATCCCGCTTGAACCTTCAACCTTCAACCTTCAACCTAGGAACGGGGGCCTTCATACTCCGTAGAGCACTTACTCCGTAGTCATTACTTATACTACTTCTCTGCCCTGACACCTGAGAGTCTGAGACCGTCCGATGAGAGAAAAGAGCTTGACACAGTCATACTCCGTACAGTATTTTGTAAGTACGAAGCTCTCGCTTGAGGATTGACTACCCCCGTACCACGAGTAGACGATCAGCACTGCCGTGGATGAAATTTAACCTTTGCCCTGACGGAAAGAAATCCTACAATTTATACTGTTCTTACTGTACAGACCGGATTGGTACTGCGTCCGATTATCCGAGGTAGAAGGAAGAGATACGACGGTTGCATCTTCTGTACAAGCCAACCGGGTGTCTGCCACCCATTGATAGTTCCTGTTCGCGATGCTAAACGAGCTTTGCTGCATGCACACCGGCATCGAGTCCCAGAGAGGACACTTGGGCCGCTCTTCACAACTACCTGCTTTTACATTAATTTTAAATTAAGGGTCTTTTGATCACGGACTCGTCGTGGAGCAACGTACTACGTACCACGGTACAGGCCTAAGTATTACCCCTCGAGGGTGCCTTAAAAGTTTAGTTTCAACTTTAAACCCCCTGTTTTCCATACCCTCGAGGGGTAATACTTACGCCTGCGACGTAGTAGTACTACCTACGTACTACGTAGCTCCTAGCTGTACCAGTAGATAGAGTTGTGCTAGCTAGAAGTTTATCCATAGCAGGGGCATTCGATAACAAGGGCTCCCTTTTTACTCTACTACTATACCGGGATTACACCGAGGCTTCCAACATCAGAGAGTCATGGGAGAGTTCAAGTAGAAAAGAAAGAGCTCCGAGACGACTTGAAGGTTGTTATTGATGTTGTTATCATAATTGTTGTTGTTATTGTTGTTATTAATATTGTTGCTGTTATTGTTAATTTTGTTGTTGTTATTATTATTATTATTATTATTATTATAATTATAATTGTTGCTGTTGTTGTTGTTTTATTATGGTTAATGTTATTGTTATTATTGTTGTTGTTATTGTTATTGTTATTATTGCAAGCTATGGAAAAAAAAAGCCAAGTGCGATTCGGCTTATTCTCGACACGGCTATCCTTCTTTGCAGCCCAGAGACACTCAACCTGCCAGTGTCTTTGCAAGGCCTGTGAGCCAACTGCCGATGACGGCTTTCATACTTGCAATCCCAAGCCTAATCCACGTGGCCTGATACTACTACGTAGTACTTATCAACGGCGAGTCTCTAGGGTAATGGTAATTCATTGCTAGGTATGCTTAGTAAAGGAGAGCAGGGTGCACTGGCCAGCCTTGGTAATGCACGGACCTCAGGCCTTAGTACTGGTTCCTACCGTATTACAACCTCGTCTTAATTCTTAGTTCTAAATAGTAGTAACACAAGTCAATCAAGCACATTATCAGAACTGCTTCCTCCTATAATCTAATATTATAACTACGTAGTAGATAGGTACTAGCAATATGTTATAAGCCCCACAGCCTGATTCAAGGTATTTCCAAGACTTTAAGCACCTTTTTAGTGTTTTAGAATACTTACTCTTTGATAATTCGTTATCGTGGCGCGCGATATATCAGAACGCGCTTTTATAGTGTGGAAGGGATGAGCTCCAGCATATACCTGACTGCGAATCAAGAGATATATAAGAATATAATTATAATGAATGGTTTTATGGTTGAATATTAGAGCTAGGCGAATCGATCCGATTCCCTCCAATATTTGTTACGATATTGGCAAGCGTCAGTCCTGGACGTGGTTTTAAGGGTTGATTGGTAAGATTAATCAGCTGAGGCTGGCGGCCGCACCAGGCTAGCGGCCGCCCTACGATACAAGAACTCTCGGCCCTCTTGTATTACTCTCCCCCCTGTGATGGCCTGAAGCTACTACGTACGAGGCCTTTTAAGCGCACGTGCGCGCTAGGGGAGTGCATAAACTTCTCTTACTACGTACGTAGTACTTACAAAGAAAACTTAGAAATATTATCCTCTTCGTACATAAAGCGTTCCCCCTTAGTATTTGAAATGGCGATCAACGCAAAGATTTACCAGCACCTTTAATTCGCGGTCAAGTAATCAATAATACAAAACTCTCCTCCTCTATGAATACATATCGAAAGTATAATTTCGCAAGGAATTATTTACCATTAAAATTAAAGCTATCGCTATCGATATTAATATTATAAAAAGGAAAAACATCTTGCTTTAAAAAAGGGCTTTTAATAGTATCGATTATAGTTATTAAATCATCGTTATCGAGAAAAGGTTCAAGTTGTAAAAGAATTGGTCGAAGAATACCTTTTTGACGAAGCTGCAGAATTTGACGCTCAAAATGTTATTGTATTTATTAAATCTTTTCCGAATAAAGAATTAAAACGAGTGTTACATCGTCGTTTTTAATAATTAAGCTTATAGCAAAGCGTTTTCGTATAATCCTTTTACGCCCGCGCTCAATTATGCGACTCTTTTACGATATTCAGCATCTCTTTCTTCTTTTTAAATCTTATCGACGCATTATTGTTTTGCATCAGATTCAAGATTTTCTTTACCTTGCTGCTAAACAGCAAGCTTATTATCGATTAATAATACGATTTTAAATGTTTCGAAAGAAGGTATGCTTATAAATTAATTTGTTGGATTGCTTCTAAACGATTGAGGAATATATTCGTAACTTAGTAAAGGTCGTTAAAGTACTTGCAATTGCAAAACACTCAGTTGTAAAGGTATCTTAATTGTAACTGCTCCTTAAGGTTCAGGCGAGCTGATTCCTTCTATACGGTTACAGTATTATGTGACGACACGCCAGGTCTCCTGGACGTATCCCTATATGCGCCAAGCTACGTCCCTTCTTTTTTCCTTCGTATTCTTCGTATTCTTTTATTGCTAGTATTAATCTGGATGATGATAGTGCAGTCACGAAGAAGCTTCTGATATGTGTAGTTGATTGACTTGTATTATCTAAGACTAGGAATTAAGGGCGAGGTTGTAATAAGAGCGTGCCAAAGATAAGGTGTCCGTGCATTATGCACGGACCACGCTCTTACTTTACACTTTACTTAGCAACACACCTTTTTGTCGAGGCTTTAAAAGCTCTCGGCAGTACTTTAATTGTATTTAAACTAATATACCTTTTTTATAAAGTAGAAGTAAAAATACTTTTAAAAGCATAGTATATTTAATTTCTACCGAATATAGCAAGTACGACTTCTAAAAAGAGAAAAAATCTTTTATAACACACTTTTATTACCTTTTATTAAAAAAACACTTTTTGCTAAGCTTTATAGCTCTAGCACTTTCATTCGAAGCAGTTGTATAAAAGCAGCGTAATTTGTATTATTTAATAGCTTTGTCATACTATCGGCGACGTTCTCTTTGCTAAGAATATATTACAGATCGAGTCGTCTTTCTGCTACTTTATAGCGTATGTAATAGAACTTAATATCGATATACTTAGTTCTTTAATAGTATTTAAGGTTTTCGAAAAGTAAGAGTGTTTTTTATAAGTTACAAATCATTTTAATTTTCTTCGCGTTAGCTTTCTTATAGCCGACCTTATTAAGTACTTGCTTAATTTAAGCGGCCTTTTAAGCGAATTTGCACATAGCTACGTACTTAGCCTCGGTTAAAGAAAAAGCTATAATAGTTTAGCGTTTAGAAATGACGTTAAACACGCCTCTTGCAAAAAAGAATACTCTTCCGCTATATGAAACTCGACTTATTCTAAAGCCGGCTTAATCGGAGTCGCAATAACTTATTAATTTAATAAGCTTAGCGTCCTTTCTATTAAAAACAATTGATAGCATACGAGTACTTTATAAGTATTATAAAACGCGCTTAACGGCAGCTATATATTAAAGTGACGGATTAATCAAGAATTTAACTAATAAAGAGCAATAATAAGCAATATCTTATCGAATATAAATTGCGAAGTATTGCAAAAAGCTAACGATTGACTAGTACAACGTAATCTCGTATTAAGTAGCTTAGCTTTCGAATTTGACTATATAAACTTCGAAGCTACTTGCAAAAGGTATAAGTGCACTCTTGTAATTAAATATACTAAAACGGTCTAACACCTTATCAATATAAGCGTCTTAACATAAAGTAATAATGCTAGTTGCTTGGTCTTTAACGATTTTAACTCTTAAAAAGTAAGAAGCTTCGCTAGTGCAAGTGATATTAAAAAAGTTGTGCAGATCTTTTTTGAATTGCTCGTAAATTAAACTCGATTTGCCGATTATTAAAAAATCGTTAACATACTGTGGTGGAATTGCGGCTTTGTATTTGTTTTGTCCATGTATATAGTACTGATGCTAAGCACTTTTGTCACGCGGGTGTGCTGCATGCTTTAGCCTTGTTAAGCACGTAATTAAGTTACGTGCAAGCTCTTATATAAACGAATAGTTGATTCCTTTTTGAACTAGCATTATATCATTATATAATATAATACACGTACTTATAGCACACATTCGAGTATCCTTCGATCGTCTTTCTTTTCTTCTTTTATTTATTTACGATTTTATTATAGCTATATTTATATATATCTTTTAATTTAACGTTAAGTATATATCGGAGCTCTTCTTTTTTATATATATTTGATAACTTACGTAAAGAATCGAATTAAAAGTTAGTCTTTATACTTTTTTTAAACTTGCTTTTTTTGCAAGAAGCTATATATTCGAAATTCACGTCATACGTTAAGCTATTAATTATATGCTTTTACGATATACTTTCGAAAAGTATTCGATATACGCTAAGCTAATAATCAAGTGCTTTTGCATATAAGCTTCGAAGCTATTGCTTTAAAAGCGATCTTTCTTCGATTTATATTCGTCGAGCATATTATTCGATATACTTAATAAATATTATTTAAAAAGTCGTTACTTTAATTTAAAAATCAAGCTAGCTAAAGTTCAATTCGATATTTATAAAGTTCTATTTACTTAAGCTACTTTGCACGGCGATACGCTCGAAGTACTATTTGTTTAATATACTTTACTTTTTCGATTTAATATCGCTTTTAATACGAGTTTATTGCTCTTTTTTCTTAAAAAAAAGTAAGCAATAGCTAAGTATCGGAAATACTACGCTAAGCTTAAAAAGTTGAAAATTCAATACTTACTTCGCAACGAAGATTACGCATAAAAACTTCGAATTGCTTTCGAATATCTTTCGCTTTAATAAATGAAAAATACAACGAGCGGAAATGAATATTATGCAATTCAAAACCGTTTCGATATCGTATTATATTAAAAGCAAGCTATATGTTTGCATAAAAGCTCGGCTATTATTCGACTTCGTTTTTATTTTAATATACTTAATCTCGATAATTACTTTTCCGTTTATTACGGATCTTGCATTATAAAGTTAAATATATTACTAATATTTATTATATCGATTTAATTTCGATTATTTAGCTCGAAGCGATCGATATTCGATTTTTTAATAAATCATTTTCGACGCATTAAGATCTTATATCTTTATAATATTTCTTTATATATCTAATATTTATTATAAATTATACTTATTTTATTTTTATTATTTATTTATATTTATATCATTTTCGTTTTTTTTTCGCATTCGTTTCGAAATACATTTATACTTTAATCGATATTTATTAACTTAATTTAACGAGCTTACGTTAAAGCTTTCGGAAATCAAAAAAAGCTATGACTTCTTCGATTTAAAAAGATTTCGGACTTAACGAAGATATTATTCGCAAGCTAACCGAAGACGAAGTAAAAAAGATTCAAGCTTTTTTACTTTTCGTAAATACTTCGAATTACGTAAGTATCCGTAAACCTTTCTTTAAACTTAAAGCTTTTAAAATACTTGCTTTCGATAAAGCTAATATTACGGATTATATTCGCTAGCTCGAGCGAGCGTTTAAAAATTACGATATCGTTAGCGATTCGAAAAAGAAGCAATCCTTTGCCGAGTATAATATTTCTAGCTTTTTTAATTACAATATACGTTGCAATATCGAAAGCTTTAACGGCTTTTCGGATTCGAAAATGACTTAAAACGACTTTAAATCGATAGTTAAAAAAGAGTATAAAGCTTTCGACTTAGCTAAGTAAAAAGATAATATTAGCTTTTTAAACGACTTAAGCAATAAATAAATAGCAAAAAAAAAGAGCTTTTAAAGCGGAGCTTTTATAATTTATTCGATAATTTAATCTTACGAGCTTTGCTTGCTTAATTAATAAAAATATTATTAATAAACAGCTAAAATAAAAGTTCTTCGATTGCTTATTATTATCGATATAAAATCGGACTTAAAAAAACGTTAAACTTAAAAAAGATCACTTACAAACTTATAATATAATATATATTATAATAAGCGATTTAATTAAGCAAAAACAGATTATTACGGAACGGATCAAAGAATACGGTTACGTTAAAATCCTTAAAGCTTTTTCTCGTTATAATTTTTATTAAAACGAGAACTCTCGTTTTTAAGTACCGTTTATCATTCTCGAAAGCAAGCGAAACTTATACGTTTTATTCTTTTATAGCACTTACTTTAATAATATTTATGCTTTTCTTTTTTATCGCGCAAACATTACCGCTGCGAGTTCGATTACTCCGTTCGTCGATTTTAACTTAAAGATCGAAGCTCTTATAAAACAATTAGCGAAAGTTAATATTTATTTAAGATTTATCGACAGCTTCGCTTTCGTATCGAAAAAAGCTTATATAAACTTATTAAAAGCTACTTCATATAAAAAAACTTAAAAGATCGCTTTATATTAAGTTTACAAAATCAATATAATCGATATTTATTCGAATCGAAGCTACATTATATCGAAAAAGAAACGGTTTTTAAACGATTTTATATACATTTTCTATTAATGCTAATAGACTTTTGATCTATTTAATTATTAATAAAAGCTTTATAAATATCAAAATCAATACTACTTGTTTATGCTTTAATACGAACTAGCTTTTCACTTTAACGAAGCGGACTTAATATATATAAAACCGTATCGAAAAGAAATACTATCGATTCCGTTTTAATTTCGAAACGATACTTTTAAATACGAGCAAGTTCTAAAAAGAGTTCGTAAAACGATAAATGATTTTAATTTAAAGCGACGTTATAAAGCTTTAAAAGCATAACGAAAATCTATTAAAAAAGTTGCACGAGAACGTGCTAAAGCGCTTATTCGAGCAGCTAACGGCGATAATACGAAAGCTTTTCGTATTAACGACTTTAATACTTCGGATATGATTCGCTAGCGATGTATTATATTAACGAATTTATATATTTACGTGTTTAATACGAAAGCTATTATTGCATCGATAAAAACTCGAGCGCGTAACGCAGCTTTTCGAATTACGTTATATTCGTTAAAAAACGCTTTTTCGATAAAAGCAAAAGTTTAATCTACTTATAATTAGCTTAAAATTACTTTCGCTAAGCTAATAAAAATAAATAAACTCGAGCCCGCTTATATCGCGATTTTAAATCGAAACGCTTTACGACCGAAAGACTTACGGAACTTGCTCGTTACGCTGTTAAAAGCTTTTAAAGCTACACAGTACACTTAAGTTTAAAGCTAAGCTTTTTAAAACTGTTAAATCATACGAAAGACTTAGCAAAATAATCTTTTCTTTAAGAATAAACTACGAAGCGACTCGTATTAAGCTTTTAAAAAAGCGCGATTTGCTTAAGAACTTAACTCTTAATAAGATTATTACGTTTTTCGCTACTTTTTTTACTTTTAAACGATCTTCTTTCGAAAGTATAATCGATAAAATGATTTAGCAAACTCTTATTAACGAAAGCGCTATTAACTGCTTTTAAGCTACGGTTAGCGTTACGAAAGCTTCGAAAGATTGCTTAATTATAAGTAGTAAACTTATACCGAAAGCGACGGATAATACGATAAAAGACGGACTTGCTTCGAGACTTTAGCGACTTATTTAAAAAAAAAGTAATATTTCTTTATTTAATAGCGATTTATTTTATAAAGTTACGAGTCGCTTTATTAATAAAGCGCTTTATCGCAAGAAATTTTTTTTTTTTTATTATTATTTCGATTTATAACCGAATCATTAGTAAAGCAGACCTTATATAAGTCTCCGCTCGATTAAAACGGATCTTATATAAAAATGTTATTGCTTAACGGTTTTAGCTTAAACGCTTATTCGAATTCTTTTAAATAATTAAGCTTTAATTGTAAAAAAACATTCGTAACAATTAAGCTAAGCATCGCCGACGCATTACGTTTTTAATACTCGAAGCGCTTTTAATTTAAAAACGGTTTTGCTTTATTCTTATTATCGGCTTTATTTCGACTTTTTTTATAACCGTGTTTTACGATGTTTTTTAATTTTAATATCTCTTTTTCGATTCATTTATTTATAAAGATTAGCGTACGCTACGAACCGCAATCGAAAGTAATACGGAACCTTTTTTAACGAAAATCGGCTTTGCTTCGACGTTTAACTAGCTATTCTTTAAATATTCTTATTATCATTCGCTAACTCTTAAGATTATCATTAATATACTCGGATAATTTTTAATTATTAATACGAAAGCTATACTCGATATAAATACGAAAGTCAGCGTTATCACTTATAACGCCGCAATTAAATTCGAAGTCTTTATAGCTTACGATCAAAAGATAAGCTTTCGAACAATTACCGGTTCTTTATCGCGCTTTATCGGATACGCCGATAATATGTTTATTAATATCGAAAGTGTTACGATCCGTACTCGATTTTACGTTATAAATTCGCTAAAGTTTCGACTTATACTCGATTACTTTTTTATACGCAAAACGAAAATCGATCTTCGATACTCTTTAAATTATAAAAGTAGCTTTGTTATTACGATAATTATTAATCCGTTTACGAGTTAAGTTATTTAAGTTAAAATAAACGATAAAACGAATTAATACGACGAAGCCGTCGATCGCTTAAAAAAGCAAAGTATAAGCTTTATTTATTACGATAAGTCTTCGAATAATAACGGCAATAACTCGGAAAATTAATAATCGACCTTATTAAAAGCGCTAAAGTCGATATATTAAAAGCTTTTTGCTTTTCGCTTAATTTCGAAAGCAAAACGTTGCAGCATCGAAAAAAAGACGACTTTATTATTTAAAAGCAATTTATCGATATTTTTACTTTTACGAAATGCGATCTTTTAACGACTTATTAAATAAATGCCGTTAGCACCGATAACTTTATAACCCGCTGCTACGATTATATCGATTATTAAAATTCAATACTTTATCGAACTTAAAAAGAAATCTTTTCGGATTCGGCTAAAGTATTTAGCATATATAAAACTAAAGATAAAAAAATCAAGCTAATTAACGAAGTAAACGGCGTAAAAATAATATTAAGTAATAAAGTTGATTAATATAAGCTATTAAAAGCTAAAGATACGCTATAAAAGCAAGTAAAAGAATATAAATAATACCTTTTTCCGCGCATTATTAATATACTAAAAAGCTTTCGAATCATACTTAAACGCATAACGAACTTAAATATTAATAATACTTTATAGCTTAAAAAAAAGGATTTATTTAAAAAGATAATATTAAGCAAAGAAAAATCAATCGCATTCGCTTAGCAAAAGTATAATAAATTTTACGACGACGTTTCATCGCCGACTAAGCTTAAAACTATTTTATATACGGCTTAACAAGCTTTTAATTACTCGTGTCCGAAGGCTTTATAGCTTATTATTATTAAAATGCTTTAAAACAAGCTTGATAAAAAAGTTTTAAAATATTACGAAAGACCGTATCGAAATCAATAGTTCTTAATAGCTAAAAAGCAGCCGGGCTAATACAAACTTATCAACTTAACAACTCTATTTAATACAATTATATAAAAAGACGCTAATCTACTTTCAATTATAAATAAGTTTGCTAAAGAGTTTTTTAGTTGTTAAATAACTAATTTAATCGACCTTTATTCGAGCTATAATTAATAAACACTTTATCAATCGAATAAAAACTTTACCGCTTTCTTTATACCGTTAAGTCTTTTCTAATGCATTATCTTTCCGTAAAGTATTACGAACTTAATAACTTAATTCGTTCGAATAATCAATCTTGTCTTAAAGCTTTTGCAATTTAAAGTCTTTATGCTATTTATCGACGATATTAAAGTAAAAAGACTATAAACGGACTATTCCGACGAAGAAGTATTCTCGAGTATACGCCGATTCGTGCTCGAATACATTTAAAATATCGATAAGACTTTAAAACGGATTAAGCGCGTTAATATTATAATCGAAGAAAAATTATAATTCTGCTAAGATAAAATAAATATAATAAGATTCGTATGCAATTCGAAAAATCGAGAACCCGCTGCGAATAAAGTTATTAAAATTAATAATTAAAAAACTTTCGAAAACGTTATTAAAATTAAAAGATTTTTAAGCTTTTGATTTTACTTTCGCATTTAAATTAAAAGATTCGTATATATTACTAACTCTTTTCATAACTTTATAAAAAAAAATATAAATTAATAATAAATTAAAGCGCATTCGAAAGCTATGCGAATGCTATAAAACGCTTTAAAGACGGCTTCGATTTTAATCAAAATCGATTACGAAAACTAAAATAAAGAAATAATAATAAAAACGAACGCTAGCTTAAAAAGATAAAAAAGATATATTAGCTAACGCAAGACTACTTTTAATAAAGTGCAACCGGCTCGATACGAATCCGAAGCTTAAATAAAAACAAAACGGAATTACGACGCTATCAAACGAAAATGCTATAAAATACTTAAAGTCTTTAAGAAACTTAAGCTATAAATTATTAAAGTGTACTTTATCTTCGAAATTAACGTTAAAATGCTCGTTGCTTAACTTCGACGAAAAGCTATCGATATATCTTCGGCTTTAATTATATATTAATTAACTTAAATTAATCTTTTCGACTTTAAAATTCGATATGTCTTTAATAAAAATTATATCGCTGCCGATGCATTATCGAAACAGCTATAGCACTTCGATAATTTAAGCGAAAAAAACGAAAATAAGTTCGATAATAGCTTATTAGCCGACTTAAAACTTATTAAAGCTCGAGACGGCTTCGAAGAACTTTCGACGGACCTTTTAATAAATATTCGTTAATCTATCTTTAAAAATATATTTTAACGATTAAAAAAAGCGGAAAATGCAAACTTAAACGAGTTTAACGACGATTACGATTACGAAAGCTTTTTAAACTTAATCGAATACTTTTCGAAATCAATTCGAATAGCTATCTTTTTAATAACCTTGCGAAAACTTAAAGACTTAAATAAAATAAAATGCTATAAATTCAAAAAGAAAGCTATTAAATACGAAATAAACGATAAAAAGCTTTAAAGACTTTCGACGAAAAGCTTTCTTTTTCGATTAATAATCGATAAACTTTCGATTAAAACAAATATTATTACGGCTTATTATAATAAGAATAATTATAAAAGCCGTAAATCAATTTATTACCGTGTTTCTTAACGCTACTTTTAAAATAAATGCTATACGAACGTTAAACGATTCGTTAAGACTTATAAAGAATACTAACATCGAGCAGCTAATAAGCTCGAAGAACTATTGCACTTTACTCGATCTAATAACTTAATAAAACGTTAAGCTATCGATATTACTTATTTACTTGCACGTAATAACAAAAGCTATTTAATTATTATTAAAGATAATATAAGTAAATAAATCGAAGCGAAAGCGATTCGGACTCGAAACTCGCTTTTGATAACTAAGTTTATTTAAAAAGATATCATTTGCTATTATAAGATTTTCTTTTAATTAATAATCGACGGAAGTTCGAAGTTTAAAAAAGAAGTAATCGATTTACTTAATAATTAAAAAATCAATCGAATCGTAATCTTAGCATACTACTTTTAAGCGAATAGAATAATAAAACGCGGCTACGGAATAATTAAAAACGCATTAAATAAGCTTAAAAGCACCGATTAAATTGCGCAATTGCTAGCCGTTTTATTCGCCGACCGTATTTCGGTGTATAATCTTACCGGATTCACCTTTTTTTATATAGTATATAACAAAAAAGCAATACTTTCGATCAAGACTCGAATCTAATCTTAAGCTACGTTATTTTAAGAACTAATAATTAATCGTATTAAGTTTATCGAATTAAAAGCACGCTAATTTCGAATGCGAAACGAAGATGCTACGGAAGCTATATTCAAGAAAACCCGCTACCGTTAAAAAGAAAAAGATGCTTTTAATAATAAAAAAAACCTTCGAATTAAACCTTTAAAAGTAAGTGACTTAATCCTTAAGCACGATTCGATACGTAAAGTAAATATATCTAACGTTAAAAAGCTAGATTTTCGATAGCTTAGCTTTTATTAAATTTCGTCGGTAAATACAAAAAGATATTATAAGTTAAAAAAGCTAAGAAAAGACGAAGCTGTTGGATTGCTTCTAAGCGATTGGGAATATATTCGTAAGGTCGTAACGGTCGTTAAAGTACTTGCAATTGCAAAACACTCGGTTGATAAGGTATCTGAATTCTGTCTGCTCCTTAAGACTCAAAGGAGCTGATTCCTTCTATATGATTAAAAGGAATCACGTGCACTAGCTAGCTAATAAGTTTACTAGTCAAGTTGAGGGTCCCTTGACTGCTGACATGCTAAGCGAGGCATGCTAAGTGACCCGTAAATCATAGTTCACGGGTGAGCTTCCTTAACTACTACTAGCTAGCTAAGGTCGATATAGATATACCGACACCGGCAACTCTTTCTTTAGCAAGCAGTGCCTTGCTAACTATTATATCGACCGAAAAAAGAAGGAAGATAACTAAACAAAGGTAATCAAACAAAGGAAAAACAATCTCCTCCTTCCTTCTTCTACAGCGGCCTTTCCACTTATCTATCCACTTGCACCTTTAAGGTGTTAGTTAAAACTAGCTCTTGCAAAGAGGTATTAGCCTCGATTTTGGTCATAGCGTTAGCAGGGTTGGATTTTCCTTCGATCTAGCGTACTTTAAAGAGCTCCCGCCTCTCGTATGACTCTCGAATAGCTATAATATCGATCATAAAGCGCTTCTCTTTAATAGTTCTTAGCTTTACTATGCACTCGTAAAGCGAGTAAGAGTTAATGCACACTATCACGAGGAAATTAAAGATTTTTAACTAAGCTGTGATTTGAGCAAAAGTGGTCGATATAGCAATAGCTATATCGATACTTAAAGACATAGCGTATAGCTTAAAAGCTAGTACTGCCTTTGTTACTTTTTTGCACTTTTATAACACTTAATAAAAGATATTACCCGTTAGAATAAATTCGTTTTCATTTACGTAAGCTTTATTATTAAGGATAGCTACGAAACTGATTTAAAAGCTAAGGTTAGCGTTATTAGCAAACGCTCCGTCTACGAATACAAAAAGCTTCGCCGTCCTTAAGTTTAAAAGCACGTAATAGATCTTTCGAGTTGAGTGATCGATTAACTATTAAATCACTTTATTAAAAGCTTTATAGTCTTCGTCTTTCGGTTTTTAGTACTAAGCAGTTATCGATAGAGCATAAGATGCCTTTAAGTAATAAATAGTAGCCAAATACGCTTTTCGAGCACGTTGCTTTAAGTACTCTTTAGCCCGTGTTATTAAATCGAGCTTGATTACGGCAAGCTTTTTACTTTGCTTTTTTTGCTCGATTAATAGTCCGAACTCGTCTTTATTTAAAGATAGCTTGCATTTATTAAAAATTATCGGCTCGACGTATGTAAAAGTCTTTATTTCTTTGTTTCTTAGTTTAGATTTGATTAACTCTTTCTTTTCTTTTGCTTTTATAACTCGATTGATAACTATAAGAATATCGTTCGTTTATAAAGCAGTTATTTTTAGTTGATCTTTATTAATTAATATAAAAAAGCAAGAGTTAAAGCTCGATTGCTTTATACCGAGGTTGTTTATAAAGTGCTTAAAGAAACGCTTATACTAATGCGTCTTTGCTTCGAAGATGCCGTATAAAAGGCTAGTCATAAGGAATAAAGTGCCGGAAAAGAATCGATAAGTGATCTCTTTAAGTAATCGCATAACGATTATTCAAATGAGCTTCGTACTTGATTAAGTGTAAGCTTGCGTGATATCCTTATTATAGACTTAATACTCGTAGTCTTTTATTAAAGAAAGAGCTAAAGCATAATAAAGTCTTTAGCCCGCTCGTTGCACCGTAAGTGACTCGGTGAGTACTTTCGTTTTGCTTTTGTTTTAAAAGGCTTAGACTATTATACGAGACTTCTCGTATAGCGTAAGTGTTCTTTTGCTTTTGATCTTATTAATAAACTTAAATCCGAAGATCTTAGCGCTTTTAGCACGTAGATCGGTGCTCGAGATTATTTAAAGAATGCTTTAAGCTATTAATCTTGCTAATTCTTTTGCTTTAGACTTTTAAAACGGTGCTTTAAAGCTTTTGATAATTCTTTCGGCTCGTAACTTAATTAAAAGCTTATAGTTTCGGCGTTTTTTATCGGTAACAAATACTTCGGAGTCTTTAGTAAATAGAACGTAAGAATCGCTTTCTTCTTCGTCGAGCACGGTCGAGATATTAAGATCGTACTTTTAATAAAGTATTTAGACTATTAGTATTATTAACTTTTAAAGATTAGTAAATTAAGAGTTA